TTATAATTTGATAATATTTTGTTTTCTATTGTTTAGTTTATTATGAATAAACACACTGAGAGACTTATGTTTAAGGGCGATGTCCCATTGAGCGGAAATATATAGCGGAACGGAATGTGCGGAACCAGCTCGACCAATCATAGCCATTCCGTTTTCTTTCCTTCGCTTTTTCTTTGATTACGATTGGTCGAGCTGGTTCCGCACATTCCGTTCCGCTATAGATTTCCGCTCAATGGGACGTCGCCCTGAAGCTCAAGACCGTTCAGCAAGCATGATCTATATCACCATGGTGTATCACTAAGCGTTCACTGATCATTTGCTCAACCGCTTTGCAACTGCTGGAATCTGCTGAACGCGACTATTGCGAAGATACGCGACTAGCAATATAGGAGTATTACATATATGCAGTACTGCCAGTAAAAAACGAACGCAGCCATATGTTCTAAGGTATATACCTAATTTAAATTTCACAATTGTAATACACATAAACAGTGTTTTCCGTTATCAAGATAAATTTATCTAGATGTTCATCTAGATGTAATAATGTTTTATTTTATCTTTATCTAAATAATTAAAATATATGACATCTTTATCTGTATCTCAGATAAGAAAAGTAGTATCTTTTGTAAATTATCTAAGATAATGAGTACGCACTCTGAATGTGACTTTTCAGTACAAGATAACAAATAATTGTACCTCGAAGAAATCGTTTATCCGATAGCACATTTGAAAAACTATTGTTTTATAATATATTTACACACATATTAACCTTACCTATATATAGAATAAATGTAATTTACTTATTACATACTTATAATATGCTTATTATACTCAAATGTATATTATATTAAATATAATGTATATCANAATATACGCTTATTTTCTATAGATTTTCTTGAGATGTATTATTTAATTTCCTAACTTCTTTAATATCTTAAAATTATCTAGATAAAAATCTCAGCTAAATCATCTTTTATCTAGATATGATCAAATCGGATTATCTTTATCTTATCTGAGATACATACGTATATGTTTTATCTAATCTGTATCTAAATTATTTTAAATTATCTAAGCGCAACACTGCACATAAATAATTATAGGAAAACCAAAACTAAAACTTAAGCAGAGAAACAACCTAGAAGAAAGATTTTAGAGAAAAACAGATGCAACCTGAGCACTATTTTTACCATGGACTATAATACAAGCTACAGATTAACATGTGCAGTTCGTGAAGGAAACCTAGAAAGAGCAAGGGAGCTAATTACTTCTTTTGGACCATCTTATACACAAGCATGGGCAGAAGGATATGGTTTACTTTGTGAAGCTATTAGGAATAAGCATACACAAGTTATTAAACTACTTTTAACAAACGGTTCTAAAGTTAACAGCAACACTGACGAATTTACTGATACTCCACTTCATTTTGCTGTTATAAGTGGTGACATAGAAATTGTTAAGATGCTTCTAGACAGACATGCTGACGTTAATGCTACAAATTGGTATGGCACAACTCCCCTTCACTATGCAATTCAACATGAGAAAATGGAAATTGCTGAATTACTTTTCAATCATGGAGCTAACGTTAACGCCGGTACCAATGAAGGTATAACTTTTCATATTGCAGCTGAGAAATAATATTTACAGATTGATGAACATCTTTTAAAATTTGGAGTTTATATTAATTCTACATATATCTATTCCTTTATACCAGGTGATACACCACTGGGTCTTGCTGTTAAAAGAGGACATGTAGATGCTGTTAAGATGCTTATAAACAGAGGTGCCAACGTTGATGTTGAATTTTGGAACGGCACAACTCTG